GAAAAGAAATTAAATTAAAAAGATTTTTAGGGTTTTTCTATGAAAAGGTTTTTAATTAGAATTAGCAAAAAATTAATTAATTAAAATAAACCTAAGTTCTAAATTAATTTTAATTTACAAGAAAACAAAATAATACAATAATTAAACCTAAACCTAAATATTAATTATTAAGAAAGAAATTAATTTATTAAGAAAATGTTTTTGTTCTTTTAATTTTATTAAAACAAATAAAATAAATAAATGAGTGTAAAAATAATAGAATAAATATTTTTTTGGATTTTTATTAATAATAATAAAAATAATATTAATAATAATAATAATAATAATAATAATAATAATAATAATAATAATAATAATAATAATAAAAAGAAAACAAGAAAAGAAAATAAATTTAAAAAAAGTTTGGGCCAGGGGTATGGAAGTAACAACAGGGGTTAGTAAAAGCAAAAAAGCAAGGCCCAATTGTTGGAAGCCCAGGCGCCTGTTTTAAACAAAAAAAATGGAAGAAAAATGTGAAAAATAGCAAAAGGGTACCACTGGGGCTAAAACCTAGGTCCCAGAGGTTAACAGGAGCGCGCTTTACCATTGGGATGGTGATACATCTGTTAACTTGTATGAAATGATAAATATATAACATAAGTTATGCCCTGAATTCAACTTCATCTTCAACCTCCAGCCATGGATCCTGTAACTTGCTCATTTCTCAACAAAAATGAAAGATGCAAACATGAAAGTTGCTTCATTTTTCCACACGAATCCAACCATATAAATATCATAAGCTATAAATAAAAAATGAATGAGAATTTCTAAAAGTACCAAATTCTGACCTAAATATTTCAGAAAGTTCAAACTCAAAATTCTCCTAGCTCAATCAAAATAAATGAAATCTATGGACATGTATAGTTTCAGGGCAATGATGTCTACATTTTATCTTCACAAATGCAAGCCTAACAATGCCTAAATATGAAGATAGAAGTTCAAGAAAAATACCTCAAAACTGGAAACTGTGAAATGCAAATGGGCTTGATTCAAGGTGCTGCAATGATCATGTTAGCTTCCTCAAGTTCCCAGGAAGCTAATGCAATTATTACCTTGAGCAATGGGTGGCTGAAATGGTCTGGAGAAGTCAACTTGCAGAGCTCTGTTTTTGGTTATGGAGTTTGATGAAGATGGAGTTACAGTTATGAAACAGGGTCAGGGATGGTTTGTATTTGATGTAAGAAAGCTTTAGGAATGAATTTGAGGGAAAACACACGAGGGAAATGAGAGATACAAGTTTAAGGTCAGAATTGTGTATCAATGGAGTTTTTTGTGCAATTTCTGGCTAGAGGGAGTTTGGGAGTGTTTCAGGGTGCTTCCGCTCATCCTAGCTCACAAATAGTGACTCTATTTATAAGCAAACAAGTTTGGAGACTTGTTATTGATCAGAATTCAAAATCACAAGTTTATGCATAACATGTGATTTTTTGAGAAATTCAAGTTTCAAAGCCTTGTGTACTTGCTAAGATAGAGTGGTTATGCTTTAAACATAATTGCTTCTGACTTTGTGGATGGAGTGTGATCAGAGGGAACAAGTTAGGGGCTCAAGAATGGACTTTATGCAAAAAGCTTTCTTTACAAGAATGGCAATATTAACTTTGTGCCATTAATGGAAATGCAACTTGGATAATAGCTCAATTGCTTGGATCAAAGCTCTAACAGCTATGTAAACATTTAATTATGGAGTCACAAACAAGTTTGAGGCCTGCAAAGCAAATATTATACAGCCTAGTATGGATTTGGTTCATGTGTTCATAAAAAATGACTTGTAATTCAAGTTTGAAAACCCTAACTTCCTCTCTTCGATTCTTCCTGCTCAAGAATGAACTCAAGGAGTTCTTGGACGTTTTGGAAAGCTTGTAATATGCTCTACAACCATTCTTTGAATCACTTTTGAAAAATCCCCTTGGAACTATATGAAAAAGTGCCATGAAGTTAGGTCAAAATCCTGCCTAAACTAGGGCAAAATTTCAGTAAGTGTTTAGTTTCAAGACTATGACTTCATCAATTAATAACTTGAGATCCAAGCACTTTTAGAAGAAGTTGTGTAAATAAATGTTGTAGATCTCATGGAGATATACAACTTTCATGTTGAAAGTTTCTTCTGAATCATCTTGCATCATGGTGAAAAACTTGCTCAAAGTTGTGAAAAAATACGAAGTTTTAAACACTTAGAAAAATTTCTAAGTTAGAAAACTTTGACTTTTCAAAATGAAATATTGACTTTTTGATTTCTTGATGAATAAGTTTTATATTTTGACATGTTTTTATGAATTGTGATCTGTGACATTTGATTTTGACCAAAAAGTCAAAGTTTGACTTTTCAGTGTACAGTTGACTTTTGATCAATTGATTGAAAATTCACTATCAATCCAATTGACCTTGAGCAATGTTTTGGGTCATGCCATTAGGTCAAAATGATGCAATTGAACTCTTGAGATCATGCCTCAAACCAATTAACCATTTGCTAGGTCAAAAATCAGAAATTGCCTTTTCTCAGTTAAAACCCTAATTTTGACCATTTTGCCCTTTTGATGATTTGATCAATTTTTTTGAGGAATTATGGTCCAAACTTGATCAAATGATACATGTGAGTTTATAATGTTGATGTGGATAAAAAATTATGAAGTTTGACTGTAAATTGGCCATAGTTAACTTTTCCCCCAATATAGTTGATTTTTAGGTCAACTGCTCAATTGACTGAGCAAAAATGTGATCCAAGACTTGAAACTTGACATGAGTAATCTTGGGGGTCCATAATGATCCATGAAATTCATATGAGGCATTGAAAGTTAAATTATACTTGTGCAATCCCAAACCCTAATTTGAGTCATCAGTGCTTAAGGAGTTGTCTTGAGTTGATCAACCCCAGTGTAGTCTTGAACCAAATGAGATCTTATGGGAAAATACTTGATAAATGAGAGAGAAAATTTTGGGGTACAACAGTCAGCATATGATTCCCAAAGGGTGCAATTCATAGTGTTGTTGCTACATAAGTAATACATCATCAAGGTTTAAAACATAAAGGGAACATACATTTAAATCATCCATCAAATAAGAGCGACGTTTGGAGTAGATATACAAACCTGTGATCCCTCAAATATATATTAAGTTGCTATTTTTTGGCACCTAACTGCGTCCGTGAATATCCAATACTCTCAACCATATCAATGATGTCTAAAAAAAATGAAAAAACAGGGATTCGACATAAGAGCAAAACAACATATCAAATACAAATGTTGCAAAACAAAACACGCTACACAATTATTTCACCTATCAACACATCCTTGTTAAAATTGTCGGTGATTATGTCAGAAAAATTTGTAAACATCAGTGCTTTGGGTGGTATTTCATTTTTGTTATCATCCCCAACAAACGTTCCTTCCGTAAACTTGACCAAAAATTTGTGCGACGAAGGTCTAAAAGCCAATACATTAGGCTGAATCTTAAAGTTTGATACCGTGTAAGTATGGTCCAATGCTAATTTTTCATCAAACAGAGACATATGTACCGACAAAAAAAAAACAAAAAATACAAAAACCAACATCTAATGCACATATGCACAGAAAAGTAAAATTAACGCTTTGTCCACAAAGATCATTTCAAAATGCTCTATGTTGTTAGAGATAACCTTTCATTTATGATGCACTCGCACAGACACCTTCCACAACTCTTTACTATCATTGATGTTGCAGATTTTTACCACAGGTCTGACCATGAAATAGCGTCGAGAATGTGAAGTCGAAAATACTTGATGTTTGAGTATTCTCCTTGACGAAGATGAGGCCGAAGTAGCGATTATAGAGGGTTATAAATATTATAAACATGATTGACAGGGGGACGGTTGAAAGAAAAATTGTTTTGAAAAGAATGAAATGTTCCCTCAAACCATGATTGTTGATTGTTGCCGCTGTAGAACATGAGGACAATGATAGTGGAATGGTGAGAAGGAGAAAAAGTTTTGTTTTGTAACCGGCAAGTTTTATGGAAAAATTGAAATGGAGAACGAAAAGAATTTTATTATTTTTGGAACAAAATAAACAAAACATTTGCTGACTCCTCGTGAAGTCACGTGTTAGACTTTTAGAAGAAAATAATCTATTTTTTTTATATTATTGATTAATATTATATCTGTTAAAATTATTATTTTAACTTTTAAAAAGATTAATCTTGTCATTGAAAAAAATAGAAGCACAACTTATTTTCTTGTTTGTCTTCTAAAAAATGTGTGAATCACATGTTGTATTATATTTAACCATGATTAGAAAATTCTGATATAGTACTATTAAAGTTGAGTGAAATATTTCGTCAAACTTTTTTTTGAATATAGTCACCAAAGGAAATAAATTTGAATGAAATATTTTACCAAATTAGTAAAAACAAGTCGAGAGAGAGTGGACAACGAAAGACATGGTTATGAAATAATTGAACTTTAATAATGATCTCTCACATGACGCTGTCTTTCTGTGGTTGGAGAAACAATCCAATCCCCATCCAAATTATTCGCAATATTATGGAGAATGCGATGCGACATTAGAATATGACATTACTTTGCTTTAAGTACGCCGGCATAGGAGGCAACAACTCATTCAATTCAGCTTGAAGACGATAATGCAAAACTAAAGAGTCAATCCATCTACCATACGAGAGTTTAAATAGTTCTGAAAAAGACACTCTTATCCTTGCAATTAAATTGGCCACAATAACTATTTTAGTACAAATGTTATCATTATCTACCTCTCTTCTAACTAATTTATTGATATTTGGCTGATAAACCATTTTGTTTGCTCCTTTGTCTCTTGGGTAATCTGTTCTGAGCAATTGAATGCATCCAGTAGGTTGAAAAGCAACCAAACTCGTCTTCATTTCAACACTTTCATCTTTTGAAAATTTGTAAATTTGGCACAGTAATCGAAGTGTCCCATTGACACATAAGTATGGGTACTCTAACCTAACTCACTCTATTGCACAACATCTTTCTTCCTGTACTTCTTACTTCTACCTCGAATATTCTTTCTTATTTCTCTTTTTATTCTTCCTTCTACGTCTTCTTCTGCTTCCTTTTTCCGTTGTTGAATCGCTTGATTGGGCGTTGATGATTTCTCGCTACTGGTTTTCTTGCCGAGGAAGAACATGGTGATGTGTTGTTTAAGAGAGTTGAGTTGAATCTCGCGAGGAGTGAACACGAAAAACTTGACTCGTTGCATTTGTGGATCGACATCCACCTCTTGAGTTCTGAATAATCCACACATGCTGATTCAATAGTAGGTTTCATAGTTATGTAATTTTAATTTTAGGGTTTTCTTTATTTTGTTTTATTCATTGAAAAAAATATAATATTTTTGGTATTTGTATCAAGGGCTATTCATAGGTATTTGGATCAAGCGCTACTTGTTTACCATCCTTTTTTCTCTACTTCAGAGAAGTATGTGACTCTTTCTTTTACTTATTGTAGAGACTAAGAAGACTGACCATGAGAGCTTTTTGGATGATGATTTTGAGAATCCAGGTTAAGAATTCTGCTTCGTAGATGATACTTGGTGTTTGTTTAGATTAACGGTGAATTTGGAAAAATCACAATATTTAACTTGGAAGACGTAAGAGCTTTTTGATTTGTATTTTGTTGATTCAGGTTTAGTGGTTTTGGCTCACTCGGAAAGGGGAAGATTTGCGGCAGTTTGGTAAGAAAAGCTTCACTTTTGATATTTTAGATATGAGTCTGATTGATTTAAATTGTTATTAACCTTTTATCTCAAGGATTTGATTATTTTAAATGTGTTTTATTCTGAGCATGTTTTTGTAGATGTGGGGTTGCTCTCGTCGCATTTGATAATTCAAACAACAGGTAATAGTTATTTTGGAATGACTTTATAAGTTTTAATTTTAAGCTATATTTGATTTTTATAGATGAACACATTATTGGATATGTAATGTTATTAAGAGTTATAAGATATGTAAATAGAACTCACTATTATTTAAATTGGTGTTTCATATTCTGTCTTTTGGTTAACAAACTGGTTGTAAATAGAACTCACTATTTTTTCATTGATGTGTTGCTTCAGCTGCTATTCCACAAACTAATTGAAAATTCCATGTATGTGTAGAGGATTGCAAGTTGACGATGAACATAACTATGCGGATGTGGTCGTGAAGTGATGAGCTTGGGTGTAGACAATTAACCTCGAAGATGCACTTGCATGTAGATGATTATTTCCCGTCGAAGTGGCTAGACTTTAGATATTTGAACAATTATGAGGTAATTTTCATGTATTTGCTTGCTGTCTTCTCAGTTGAAGCCGATGGAGTTAGTAATTTGGAGTTGTCCCTTTGGTACAAGGGGATATCAAGACATGATATGACATCAAATTTAAGCATTAAAAAGGACTTTAGGGTAGCATCAATTCGAAACTAGATGTTAGAATTTTATTTTAAGCATGCTGGGAATATGTGGAGAATATCCACACTAGAGGGTAAATCATTATCATATGGAATGGATGACAATTAAATAGAGATGTAGTGAAACTAAGAAATACTTTAGGTGAAATATAGATGTAGTGAAACTAAGAAAGACTTTAGCAAAATGGTGAGTATAAGATTTTCTTTTTACAGTTTGCCTTGGTTTTGTTTTTATTGTGTTGCAAGTTCAATAGGGGTATGATGGAGGTAAGGCTGATGATAACCTATGTAAGATGAACTACAAACTACATAATTTTGTCAAAATTTAACTTTACCCTAAATATAATATCTCTATACAGTACTCATGGTTAATAACATGTAACTGGCCTTTTGGGTTTTCAAAAGTTGTATACTATGCATCTATTATATTAACTATTCATTGATTAGGATTTTAAAATTTGGAAGAGGTACTTTTGTTAGGTATTTTGTCAGAATATTAATTTGTGAAAATATGGTTTAAATTGAATGTAAAATTCCTTTTTTTTCTCGGCTCACTCGTGTTTTGAATTTAAAAGTGTTCTTGCGTATGAACACTAAACGATTATCTTTCCTATAGGAATAAGAAGAGCCTCAAAGGTAGATTTCTGTAAGTATGATTGGGGATTTGAGAGCTACACTAGCAGTGCATATTGTTTCAAGAATATATGTTTTGCTTATCCCTCTTGCAGGAGCCCCTTATATAGCATTCGTTTTATCCCTCATTAAGAGATGTATTCATGAAGTGATCCTTCACTTTTCTCAATTATGCTCGTTTGGCAACGTCCTCCATCAGCCATGATTGACGTAATTAATTTCTTGTAATGCTGATGTTAATGAAATGGTGACCGTTTCAGGAGTTACATCTGGGCTCTACACGCGACCCTTCTCTTGACGCCTAGGTCGGGTTCTGGAGAGTGTCACCCAGAGATAGGACGTGACCTAGCCTCCTGGTCCCGAGGACACTAACCGGAGGTACACACATGTCCATGATTTCCTGCCTTCTCTCCAACCTCCTTAAGCCGACTATATGTCCCGACCCAACATATATATTTCGGGATGTATATAAGCCACTCGGACATACATGTCGACATCGGGATGTGGTGTTCGATCATACTTTAGCCCAAAATACTTCTAGTTTTGAACCCAAAAAATATTCACACGTACTGAACTTTTTCGCGTACATGGTAGGCAACAAATAGGCAAATCTTTTAAGTTATTTCTTCCCAGTGCAATAATGACTTTTTATGGGGAGTTGATTATAGGAGATTGTTCCCCTACTACTGCCATCATTTACTAGGGATCTTTATTTAAGCCCTAATTTTCCTCCTTTCTTCTATCAATTCTCACCGTTGGCAACTTTCGTAACGCTCTCTTCATCAGCCAATCCTTCTCAAACGCAAAGCACACTCTTATCAAGTATTCTCCTTTTCTTCATTCCTTTTTAATTTATTCCTATTTCCTGGTATTTTTATAAGAATGGTTACCATAAGGGAGTGTGATAGCGCTAGTAACGTTATAAAACCCAAAACTGCTGAGGAAAGAAAAGCTTTGTGGGATAAGTGAATGTGAGAGATGCAGACTGCCTTTGGTGTGGAAGAGTATACTCGAGTCATGAATATGATTTATAACGAAATCCTCACTTTTAAAAGTGATTTTGATTGCGTCTCTTCATCCTTAGCTTCTGTGGAGATGGTGATGGAAACCTCTACTCCCTTTGATCTAGAAGTAATGAGCTATAAGAACAGTCTTTTTGACACAGTGGAGATTTGAAAACTCCAGTCTCTGAAGAACATCTCCTCCACCGGGAACGAGGACGAAATCATCTTGGAGGCCAGCGACCTTGGAGAACGAGTGTGCATTCTTCGTCCTAAAAGCTCCAAAGAAGAGTTCTTTTATTTCTAACCGGGAGTGCTGGAAGATTTTTAAGTTCATATTCCTTTCTCGGATTTTGAAGTATAAATTCTGAAGGCCGTGAATGTGGCTCCTTCTCAACTCCGACCTAATAGCTGGGGTTTCATAAAGGCCTTTGAAAGAGTCTGTGAGGCTATGAACATTATCCCTACTGTGAAGGGATTTGAGAAGCTTAGTTGGGTTCAGATTAGTGGAATCTCTTAGAAGAGTTTTCTTAAAGTTTACACCACTAATTACAAAGGCTTTAAAGACCGCTTTGTTCGGGTTAAGTGTGGGCCGCGGTGTTCACAAGTGTTGCTGGCCCCGAACGGTCACCCTCGCTTTCCTCACTATTGGACCCGAGATCCCCTTCCAATTTTTGGTTTCTCTTATGAGAAATTAAGTGAGCTAGAGATCCAGTCTCTGGAAATCCTTGACTTGTTTCAAATGATGAGGGTGAAGGAGTTGATGCCTCTAAGTGATAAAGACCTTCCGACTTTCCTTGGTAAATGTCTTGAATTTAGTCCCTTAATGGACAAAGCATAAACTTCATATTGTTAAGTACCTAATTCTTTCTCATCTTTCTTTTTTGTAGACAAGATGACTAATCTAAGCGTCACCGAGCATAAAAAGTTGATGCTGGAAGCCCGTTTTTCCAGGAAAGGAGCCGAAGGAGCCACCCAATCAAGATCTGACCTTGCTGGCCTCGAAACTCGACCTTTAAAAAGGAAGAAGGTGACTGGTACTAAGGCGGCCTCTGGCTCATCCGAGCCCTAACCTTCAATTTCTCTAGCTCTTAAAGAGGTTCATCAGGGAACTCCCAAAAAACTGAATACTTTGATGAGTAGAGAAGCTTGCGGGATGATATGAAAATCTACTCCTTAATGAATAGAGTTTGGGGAGGGTGCTTCTAACCTGGCCAGGGAGTTTAAGTTTTGGTCAAACAACTTTGATGGGGTAAAGTTCTTTTACAACCACCTCAAAGTGGATGAGGACGTTAAGAAGGTGAAGTCCGTAAGACGCCAAAAAATGTTTCAAAATATAAGCTCCTATCTTATGAGGTGTGTTGTTTTGTCGAGGGGTTTGTTTGAGTCTGGTGATAACTATGAGAAGAATGAGTTAAAGCTCTAGAAGGAGATTACCGACTTGAAGGATAGACAGAAGGTTAAGTCCGACAAGATGACTGCTTTGGAGAAGAGCCTTTCGGGAGAGAAGACTCGAAGGGAGACCTTGGACTCAGAGAGTAGGAAATCCCTCACTCAGCTTACTGATAAGCCCAAGTTTACGAAGACTACAAATGATGAGCTCAAAGAGGCTCTCAAGAAGTCTCAGATGGAAGTTCTTTCTGCCATCGATGAAGCCTTTGACCGGGCTAAAGATCAGGCATTATGCCTTTACCCTGATCTGAATTTGTCTGAGATGGATTATCTCAAGGTGGTGTAGAATGGCCTCCTTGTGGATCTTGATGAAAAGGAGAAGGATCAAACTCCATCGTCGAATCTTGATAACCCTTCTGGTATGTAAAAAAACCATGACGATCTTCAGGAGAAACCAACTGCTTAGTTCCATTTGGTTCTGTTAGTCATCTGATAAGGATGCACTTATGTAATTTTTTGTTTTGTTTTGGGGAGTGTGGTCTCGTCCCCCCTTTTAAGTAATGAATCTTTTCCTTCGAGAACAATGTTTTGAACAACTCCTTGCCTTTTCAGGCTTTGACATTGTATGATTTCATTAATCTGTTTTTCTGCTTTTTGAAAATATAAAAATATAATCCATGTACTCTAGCCCCTCGGGCACCAAGTCAATAGGACTTTAAGTGTCCAATCATGAAATGCTGAGATTTATTTTTAGCTGATCCGCTTATTAGCTTCACAATCTTTTGCTATATTTGTTTACAAGCTTCTTTTTTTGTTGAGGTAATTGGATT